ATCTCCATCTCGCAATACTCTTGGTGCATCCCTTTACCTTTTGCGTGCTTTCGTGATGAAACTGAAGAAAATAGTCATTTAACGATTCCCGCCCGCACATTTTATTCATTTGGTCCGTTTCGAAATATTATAATACCTGACAAATATCATTATTATTCGAATTTCACATTCAGATTCTCAAGTTATCTTATCGTATCGTGCCTAAAACTGAGTTAAATGTTCTCTTGCTGTATTTGATCTTTACCTGCAATATGTGTTTCAAATTTTGAGTCAAAAGGGATGTTCTTTCTGTCAGTGAGCCTGAATGGAAACGAGATGTGCAAAAGCTACAGTGAGCTTTCCTGTAGACTGTGTACAAATTGTAAATCCGCTATTATCTTTATTTAAAAAAAAACCTCTCACTCTGTTTCTCAGTATTATGAACAGAGGGCACCTCTGTTCTCAGCAGTGATGTCCGGTTTCCAGTTGGATAGAAAAACACCTGACAGCGGTGTCTGTCTTTTGTCCCCGATGAAAAATGGAGTAAAAAATGCTGCTGAAGTTATGCTGCATCATCTTTCAGGGCAGTGGTAGAAGATATAATTTAAATATGATGGTGTGAGGGGCGGCACGGTGGGACGGTTGGTTAGCACGCCCGCCTCACAGTGCCGAGGTCGTAGGTTCGATTCCGGCTTCGGCCATTCTGTGTGGAGTTTGCATGTTCTCCTCGTGCACGCGTGGCTTTTCTCCGGGTACTCCAGTTTCCTCCTGCATTCCAAAAACATGCGTGGCTGGCTAATCGAAGGCTAAATTGTACCTAGTTGTGATTCTGTGCACGAACATGTGGTTTGTCTATGTTTGCCCTGCGATTGGTTGGCATCCAGTTCCGGGTATACCCCCGCCTACTGCTCGAAGACAGCTGGGATAAGCTCCAGCACGGCCGCGACCAATGTGAGTTGAATCGGATCAGAAAATGGATGAGGATGGGATGATGCTATAAAGATCAATACATTGTCACAATTGATATCATATTATATACTGCAATTCTGGCAGAATTTTAAAACTGGAACCCACAAGTGCCACGGTTGCCAAACTGTGTGGTGCACATGACAGTTATTGGGCTTTTTCATGGGTGTCAAACTTAAGGCCCCGAGGCCAGATTCGGGTCACCATATCATTTTAAAACAGTTAGCACGTCCGACTCACAGTGCAATGATTGTGGGTTCGATTCTAGCCCCAGACCTTCCTGTGTGGCGTTTGCGTGTTCTCCTCGTGCCTGTGTTGGTTTTCTCTGGATACTCTGGTTTCCACCCACATTCCAAAATCATGCATAGCAGGTTAATTGGACACTCTATATTGTTGCACTGTCATTGTTTTGCTTCTTGCTGCAAGCCAAAATTTGAATCACAATCAAATACAGATACACCCACGTTCGAGTGAAATGAAAAAAAATAAGCAGAGGGACAATTGTAAACAATTCGAGCTACGTACGAAATTTTCATAGACAAATATGACCTCTATTTATGTCCTATTTTCGATAGCCGAACGGTTTTCGCATGGACAAGCGGATGGATCTTTGTTGTAATTCTTCCTGCGCCCCTTCCTTAACCATCATCAGAGATCTTCATTGCGTTTGTGACATCCAAAAATAATTTCATTTCCATAAAACAACAAATTAAAGTTTGTGTTACAGTATTTATTAAAATTTAGCATCTGTTTAATTAAGAGAATCAACGGTTAATGTCGGTCTAATCATGTGAAATAGCCGTCCCCGTATGGCAGAAGTTCCACTTGCGTGCAATCTATTCATCCAATCACAGATGATGAAAAGTGGCTGTGTTGAATGAACGTGGAAGAATGTCCCCTGTTGACAGACATGTTGAAGACATAAATAAATAAATGGCAGAATTGTAAGAAGCTGCTCAAGTAAGTGTTTTTAGAATCACTTGTCATCAATGAGCAGAAAGATCTGTGATCTTCTCACGTTTTTCTCACGTTTTGTCACCAGGCTTCACGTGTGTTGTTTTCATTACATACAAATGAGAAAGCACTCTCAAGTGACGGCGTGACCAAGAGGCAATAAAAGCAATAATAAAAATGATCGAAAGCAAATTGTAGTGAATTCATCTTTCAAAAAACAATGTGACACCCAACTTCAGGATTTTTTTGTTCGTTTGTTTTAAACAGAAAAAGACATGTTCCCGTGAATTGGTCTGCTAAAATCAATTGATGAATTAGGAAAGAAACAGTCATAATACGTAACACTTAAGCCAGATTTTTTTTCCCGTTATTACGAAAGAAGACCTTTTTCAGTCAGGAACTGTAGTCCCCTTTTCCCCTTCCTCTGGTTATTATAAACGTTATCCTGTTTTTAAAGTGTTTCATTACTTTTTAATAGCGTGTGTTTTCATATATTTCTATATTGCATTATATTCATTTTCAACCACACACTACCGGTAATAAAAAAATTAAAAAATAAATAAGGGTAACTTCATTTTGGGTCTGGAATAGATTAATTGCTTTTTCATTAATTTCAATGAGAAAAAATCTCGTATTATGAACCTTTCAAGTTACAAGCATGGTGTTATCTCGTATTATGAACCTTTCAAGTTACAAGCATGGTCACGCAACCGATTAAGTTTTTTAACTCAAGATTCCACGATATATTACCACAGTGTTGTTGATCGTGACCAACAGAGGTTAGGTTTCCATTTCCAAATGATTTTTTTTCCTGATGAGCTTTGCTTTCATTTTTTATTATTGATGGTTAAGAGCAATCGATATCCTATTCAAGTTAGGCTCACTTAGTGAGTGGCAACACAAGATGGCTGCCTGTTCTTTGAGTTCTTGCCATGGCGAGTTGTTAGTCCATTTATATACAGCCATGGAAAAAAACTTATGATCCCGCCATGTTTTCAATTTCTTGTTCATTTTAATGTTTGGTGCCGTTAAAAGTATACGAAAAAAAATGGTGGTCTAAATATTTTTCCACGCCTGTATACGTCCGTGGTCCGCACACTCATGAAGAAATTCACCTGCCATATTCCTGACGTCACTCACTCGGCCTGGACCCCTTAAAAGTACACTGCTCAGGTGCGCAGTTATTGTGACTTGCAATTATACTTTACAAAACCAGTTTATTTCTTAAATTCGCTTTTATTCTATCCTATGTTGTTTTTATACTATACAGTGTTATTTTCTTTATTAAAAATCACAAAATCAAAAAATGGTCGTGTTTTCTTTATTGCTCTAATCGGTTAATGGACATTAAAATAATTTCAAAGGTGAATATTGATTTGCTTTATCCAATATTTTGCATCATAGTGGTACAGCTCATACAACTCTACATGGTCTTTGGTTCCTGAGTAGATCTCACCAAGAAATGCAGAAGAACCACCACACTGTTGCTTTTTTTTTCTAAAGAATTGTTTATCCATAGTCTAATCCATGTCTCTTCTGAGAGTGATGTCATCCCCTAAGATTCCAATTCGATTGATTTGTTGCAGTGGTGTAAAAGGGGGACCAAGGGAGCGATCGCTTTGTGTCGTATATTTTATTATTTTGTCTTCTCCTGACCATGTTATGATGTGTGCATGCGAATAGAACAGAATAGAATAGAATAGAACTGGGCGATTTGGCAATATATACGATATACACAATTTATTGACTCAATCGCTGAATTTTGATTTTTTTTTTTTTTTAGAATTTTTATGTTGACATTCTCATCAGAGGTCACCCCAGTGAGTCACTCACATGATTTGTTAGTCACATTTTATATGTCAGCCGCCCTTCCTGACGCAACACTCCCATTTATCTGTACTTGGTGAATGACATTGGACAGCTCAAGTGCCAACTGTACCACGACAACACTCGTGCAGTGTTTAAATGGAAATAATAAACAACTTATTATTATTATTAATAATAATAATTGTACTTTTATTTTTAATAACCTGCTTACCTCTGCAGGTGTCTTTCAGTTTTTTCCTCAATGGCCAGATTACTTCAATGTTATCTTCTAAGCAGCTCGCCTGTGCACAATTTCTGATGTGCAAATTGCAAATTCTAGTGTTACTTTTAAACGTGTTTTTATTTCATTTTTTTGCATTCAAGGAAGGAAAGAACATTGTGGTAAAGGACTATTACGTTGTATAAGTAAAATGATTAGTTCATTTTTTACATAGTGACTTTCAAGGCACCCAAGGCTGCTTAATACTATCTCATGAAGTAAATAAAATGAAATGGATTTCACAAACTATTGATCATGTCATAAAATGGGCTTCGTGTTCATTCCAATGATATAGCCAGATTGTGATGATGTATCATTCCACCGTGTGCGATGAGAGGGTGCCTTATCAAGGAGGTGCTGATGTCTCCGTACAAATGCCTATTTCTACCAGGTACTGCCTTTAAACAGTGCAACGTCAATCCGTCAGTCATCATACCGTCATTATTTCATTATTTTCGGGTACCAAAACTACGTTGCCGTTTGCTAGCGTTTTTTGCTCATATTGGCTTTTCCTGGTTTAGTGTCGCCAGCGCTTTCTGCCTCTACTTTGTCAGTCCTTCGTTTTTTTTCTGGAAATAAATATTTTTTTGTTCCGTTTCATTGAAACCATGACTTTTCAAAACTACGGTAAGTCGTCAAACCTGTAATCAGCCCATGCCTACCGGTGATCAACCTAGTAATTGAGAAACGTGTTAAAAAAAAAAAGCAAACAAATGCAATTTAACCAAGGCAATTTTCGTTGGCAAGCTCACTTGCGCGTTGGTATATAAACCCACACATCTCTATATCCATGACAGGCAAGTCTAGGTGTGCGTGTTCGTGAATTTCGAGGCCTGCGCTGTGCGTCGCTAGGCTTTTTGGCAGACCAAGGTTGTTTTTTTTAAGGGCACTCACCTGCCAATTTCGTGAGAAAAAGTACACACAATGTTAGACCACCTAAAAACATATTGAAATGGTAGCACAGGTGATTTAATAATGTGGTTTTGATGTATTTATTTAATTGCAGCACAGGGAGACAGATTCAGGACTTCACTGGCGTATGTGGTTGATCTCATTGTATTTCATTCATAAATATGACAACAGTCTGGGACGGTCACTCTGAATCAATGTAGAAATCAGTTCATTGAACGAATTTCAACATATTTTAATAGTATCCCCTTGACCATGCGGGACAACTGTGGGGGGGCTTTCCTCACAAATGTATGGTCGTGGGCGCAAGGTGGTCTCCAATTGCTCACCTCAGTTGAGCGGCCGTCTACATCAACCGCAAAGGGATATCTTGCAGTTTACCTGTACAAACACACTTTGCATGCGCCAGTGTCATGCAAAGACCCCAGCGAGTACTGCTTCTCCAATGTCAAGCCCTGCGTGCGCTTAGACCACCCTGATTTTAATGCAAATGAGGATCCACTACAATAGGCCGTGAGTCTGCTACGTCCCATCCCACAATGGCGTAACAACAAACATCCCCTTTTGCCCACTTCTACCTTTGCAGAAGGTCTGTCGAGGAAAATACCAAAAGAAAGACTACACCGCCTCCATGAGCCATCACTTTATCATGGTGGAGGGGTTTGAGTGTCCCAATGATCCTGTTGTCTAGGGCAGTATGCCCTTGGCAGGGTCACCCATAGCAAACAGGTCATAGCTGAGGGACCAGACCAAGGACGGCCCCCCTTAACGCTGTATATTGCGGGAATGGGGTGAATTGGTGGAGAGAATACTTTGAAGAGCTCCTAACATGCCTTCCCGGGAAGAAACAGAGTCTGCGGTCTCAGCGGCGGGGTTTCCTCTCTGTGGGGTTGAGGTCACCGATGTGGTTAAAAAGCTCCTCACTGGCAAGGTCCCGTTAATGGATGAGGTCTGCCCAGAGCGTCTAAAGACTCTGGATGTTGTGGGTGCGTCCTGGTTGACACGGCTGTGCAGCATCGCATGAACATTGGCGACATTGCCTCTCGATTGTCAGATTGGGGTGGTGGTTCGTCTTGTGTTGATGTGTTCCAACTACAAGGGGATCACACTCCTCAGTCTCCCTGGTGGTCAGGTCTGTTCAGGGGTGCTAGACACGTGGGTCTGTCTGGAAGCTGAATTTTAGATTCAGGGGGAGCAGTGTAGTTTTCTATTCTGGCTGTGGAACAGTCAACCAGCTCTATACCCTCAACAGGGTACTCTAGGGGGAATGGGAATTCTCTCAACCAGTCTACATGTGCTACACCTGCTGGAAACTAAACTGAATCATGACAGTACCCACCTCCTGCAACGGACGCCTCCCAGCGGATTATCCGGCTTGGACGGGTGCAATGAGTGGAAGGTGTGGCGAAGGGACGGGTCCAGAATCCACGTGCAGGGGATCCATTACCGTTCCTTCAGTCCAAAGCCTTTCCAAGTCCATGGTCGGATAATTCTGTCAGGGTGTCCGGAAGGTTTCCGGACAGAATCGGACTCTGATAGATGTCAAAAAAGAGATATTTATTTACAGAAAAAAGGCGCGAGGCCGACACAGTACAAATAAGAACACTGGTAGAATCACCAGGATAACAATAAGAACAAAAAGCACTTCACGGAAACGCTAAATGGAAATAGCTAGTCAGAAAAGGACAAGAGGATCAATTTGCGACAAATACAATCCGATAATTTCTATACAAACGAAAACCAAGGAAACTACTTACAATGGAAGATGCTAAACGAGGCAAGAGAACTGCACGCGCAATAACATGGGCCGTCTAGAAAACAGCACTTGAGTAAGGTGAATTATCTGACGCTGAATGGTTGGAGTGAGAGTCCTCCAGTAGTCTGTGATTATAAAGAGCGATATGGATAAAAGGTGCCCAGCTGATATGAAAGTCTACCCCTGCCACCTGCTGGAGACTAATCAGAACGGAGTCATGACATTAGAATTTTCAGGAAGCTATTTGGATGGTGAAATATTCGACAGCTGCCGCCCTACATACAACACAGTCTGTTCATATTGTTGTATTTGCATGTTCAATAAAACACTTCCCTGGGATTAAAATGAAAAAAAATTGACAAATCGCTCCTTAAATCATTCAAGTCATTGACTGGGAAAAGAGAGTTATTTGGAGCCTTGTTTCATCACACCTTGACACACAGTTTGGGTAATGCTATTCCATTGAGTGTGTGAAAACAATTTTGACATCCACTTTATTCAATCTTGTGAAATGTTACGTTTAACAAACAAGCTCTGCAAAAGCTGTTTGCGAATGTTTTATGTGCTTGTCTGCCATTTAAGATTGCAGTTCATTGTGAGTAATGTCAAATGATTAGGCGCTTTAATCAGTTCAAGCTTCGTAGTGTCAAAGACATTGTATTTTACAAACCAATATGAGCTAAGCTGTTGAAGTTTAAAAAAACGTTTTGTTCCATATCCCCCCCCCCCCCCCCCCCCCTCCCCCAACGCCATTCCTTTTATCTTATAACAAAGTTTAAGGCAATTGTAGTATTTGGATTGATGAATTCTATAAATCAACTTTTTTGTTTTTTGTTTTGTTTTTTTGTTTTTTTTTAGCCCAGGGGAAATGTGTCATGAATCCTGATTAATCACCCAGTAAAGATCTGATTAAGTTGATCTTTTTTTTTTTAAATTACCTGACAGGGCTATCCGTGTACTAGCTAAATAAATATTAGCCATTAACTTCACACACTCTGAACCGCCAATAAACTTGACAAAAAACAGGACCAATGACAGTCAATTCAAGGCAATAAGAGAAGAGTGGACAGCAATGCAATTCTTTGGCATGCGGCTGAGAAAGGCAAAATTTCATTTTATTCCATACCATTCGTTTTCTTTGTTGACAAATCAGTGATAAACATTGGGCAATGTTTCCACCTCTCCTCTTAAGGTACCATTGAGTTTGGTGTCCTTATGCGAGGATGCCAAAAAAACTGAACCAAACTCTTCCAAAATAGAGCTTTGGGGATTATCAAGCTGCTCCAAGTGATTTATTTCCTCATTTATGGTCTGACTGAGCTCTTAAATAACGTATTCAGCGTGTTTCTCAACTCATTGTCTATCTCCAGCTGCGCCGCCTTTAAATGTCCAGTGAAATCATCGCCCAAATGTTGTCCCATTGAAACAAACGGTTGAATCATGCTCGCTTTGTCCAGACTGTGTGCGGCATCCAGCATCTCCATAACCAGAGATGAGGGTTGATTGGTAATTCTTTATCGTCATAGTCAAGAAGTCATTAACTCTGTTCCCAGCAGTTGTCCCTGTGTCTGCAGTGTTACATTATACTGTTATCTTTGTCAGGCGCACATCCTGTGTCGTCTGTATATAAGTACTATAACTCAGGGTTAAAATCTACCTCTGAGCATGCGACATTGCCGGTTGAGGATGAACAACATTGCTTATTTGCCAAGGGAAATAAAATCGTTCAGTAGTGAAACCATGTCGCGGTTTCGATGACTTATATGCAACTGTATCATTTTGGACAGCAAAATTAGAACAGGTTAGAGCATTTATCCACCTGCTGTAGCTAATTGCGATGGCCTTTTGTTTATTTTTAGACCACGTCTTCATAACAGATGACCACCTATGTAATATCTCAATGACAATCTTATCGTTTTCTCCTGTCTGACTTTCTTTTCCATGCACTTCTTCTTCTTCATTCTCTGTGTTATTTTTTGATTTTTTTTTCCCAGAGGGATCATGATGCGTTATCATGACATGATATGCTGGTGCCTGACGTCTCTGCACTTCACATCTTCTGGATTTGTGGGCTAGTACATCAGTGGTTGAGATTATTCCACGCTAACGCACTCAAAAGGCATAAATACAGAATTAACAAGAACACCTTATAACTTTAAAACAAGAACATTTTATAAAGTGTCTCAAAGCACAAAATGTTTATTTTTTCCCCCCTAAAGGATTACAGGTCTGAATGGTATGCTTAATACCTTTTGTTAAATTCCAGTCTCTGCTACTTGTATGACAATGTCGTAATAATAGGAAAAATGCATTGATACCTTACAGGAGCAAATACAAAGTACCGGTAATACACAAGGCTGAATGAAACGGGTAGTGATGCGGGTAGACTATTGCAAAGTAATGTGTTACTTTATCCATCCATTTTCCGATCCGCTTATCCTCATAAGGGTCACTTGGGGTGCTGGAGCCTATCCCAGTCGTCTTCGGGCAGTAGACGGGGTACACCCTGAACTGGTCGCCAGCCAATCGCAGGGCACACACAGACAAACAACCATCCGCGCTCACACTCACACCTCGGGACAATTTGGAGTGTTCAATCAGCCGGTCATGCATGTTTTTGGAATGTGGGAGGAAACCGGAGTACCCGGAGAAAACCCACGCAGGCCCGGGGAGAACATGCAAACTCCACACAGAAAGGCCGGAGCTGGAATTGAACCCGCCTGCTTAGAATATATCTCTTATTTATTCCATATGAGAATTAAAAATTTTGGTAGACATTTTCGAAAGGATCATATAAGTTGACATGTTTGAACTACTTTCGCGGGCCACATGAAAAGATGTGGCGGGCCAGATCTGGCCCCCGGGCCTTGAGTTTGACACCTGTGTCTTAGGAGACTCATTTAATTACTCTAACAAAAACATTTTTTACATGAATGACTAATCTAAAGCTGAACTTTTCTCTCTGATTACAGTAACTTTGCAAGGGCACTATTGGTTGCTTGATAGCAATTAAGAAAGATGAAAGCAGCTCACAGAATCCTAACTGTCACTTATCATTCGTTATCAAGTGTTAGTGTCGCTGACTGCCAGAGAGTGGCGTTTGATACCACTTCCATTCTCCATCCATTTTCTGATCCGCTTATCCTCACAAGGGTCACGGAGGGGGGGGGGGTGCTGGAGCCCATCCCAACCATCTTCGGGCAGTAGGCGGGGGACACCCTGAACCGGTTGCCAGCTAATTGCAGCATTTGACAACACTTGAATCGGGAAAATATTTTTCAATCAGGGTTTTCCCTGTGTGGAGTTTGCATGTTCTCCCCGTGCCTGTGTGGGTTTTCTCCGGGTACTCCGGTTTCCTCCCACATTCCAAAAACATGCATGGCAGGCTGATTAAACACTCAAAAATTGCCCCTTGATGTGAGTGTGAGTGTGGATGGTTATTCATCTCTGTGTGTCCTGCAATTAGCTGGCAACCAGTTCGGGGTGTCCCCCGCATACTGCCCGAAGTCAGCTGGGATAGGCTCCGGCATGCCCCACGACCCTTGTGAGAATAAAGCGGTTCAGAAAATGGATGGATGGATGGATGGTTTTCCCTCACGAGTGTATGTGGAACAAGACTATTAATTAACAAATAATAAACACAGGGGACACCATTTGTAGAGAAAGACACACTGCAAACAACTGTGCATTATAGAACATATAAGAAACGGGAACTGTCGTGTTTCCAGCTTGAAGTGAAACATTCTGGGACTTCACGATTTGCATTCGTGCCTGGTAGAGTGACGTCACGTACGAGCCATGTCATGTTTCGACCACATGAAAAATAAAGGAGAAAGGAGAGAGAGAGATTCAAGATGGAAATTCAGTCACTATTTTTGAAGCTTGTGTCAGCTAAAGAAAAATGTTGAGGTACGTTGCACACTGTGTGCTGTTGACAAAGTGTTATCTATCTTAAAAAACTGCCAGTACATCAAACACACACACACACACACACACACACACACACACACACACACACACACATTCAAGCATACACACACACATTCAAGCATAGAGACAAAAAAATCCATGTGACTGTAGAATCCATGAGTAATTAAAAAATAATTACAAACGTTAAGACAAAAAAATTGTCCTATTTCATTTTTAATTGAAGAAGGCACATCACTATTAAAAATGTACTTCCAATATAAAAGTATTGACAAAAACCTAATGTCAATTTTACATGAAGCGGGCTTGTCAGCATCTGTTCAATTTAGTTACTAAAGTAACTTGTAAAGTCAAGTAATCAGTAAAGATATTTTTTCAAGATAACTGTGGCAATGCAATGATTGTACTTTTTTACAAATGAGCAATCGTGACATTTCATACAGTGTCATAGAGCATAAACTGTGTATATTATTTCCAAATGATTGTAGGTCCAAACAGTACATTTAATACCTTTTATTAAATTAAATTCCAGTCCCTCTTACTTGTATTGGTCTCTGCAGCGTCGACTGGTTGATTTCAGTTCTCTTCTCCTCTCTTCCTGCCTGTCCCTTGTTTATAAAAAGAGCCTTGGTGCTCCAGTCCAAATTAATTAGAGTCAATGTCACACACCCTTGGCTCCGTTTAAACAGCTGCCTTGCAGCCATGTCACCTCAAAGTGAATGAACAACAGACCAATCAACACCAGCCCTCGTTAATCATTGGAAAAATCAAATCTCATTGGATCTTGAAAGATAGCACTGAGGATGGACATGCGTTGCTGGAGGTCAGTTTGCCAGCCAGATGCTTTTAACAATTACCACTCTGTAATTAGAAAAAAATATTTCATGACGCCACATTTGTTCACGTTTGACCAACCTATTCTACTGTCCTGTGGAGATAGCATTTCTCATTTGTAAACGCTGCCCTTTCTTCTCACAACTCAAAGATGGACGAAAGCTCGGAAAGAGATGGACAACCGTTTGATGGTGATTCATGTTGACGATTCTGACGAGTGTGTGCAATTGATTTTTAAATAATTGAAACCTGGAAAATGCTGACCTGGCCTGCGACTGACTGTAATGCAATGTCATTTGTAATCTGCTGATACATATGACACTAATATGCAACAGGAGAGACAGTTCTGATGGAAGTCTTGTCCCTCAATTGCATGATACACAATGATTTCAAATCAATGGAGTGGAATTAAACATGCTAGCCATAGTGAGCACAATGGTGTATTTTTTTCTTTTTTTTTCTTTTTTTTATGGCGCTTCAGATCTTAACATGGTCCAAAATGTCTTACATTTCCTTTGTTTTTAACAAATTCACATTTTTTTTCCTCATAGATTGGACGTCATTGAAAATGTAATTTTATTTGAGTTATACATGGCAGGGTTATAATAGTTTGGAATTTTTCATTTATTTTCGTTTTGACTTTTGTTGTTTAACTTTTGTCTGACTGAATGACATTTTGTATGATATTAATTGACAAAGAGGAACACAAAGTACATGTTTGCTACACTTCAAGTTAATTTTAGTTAGTTTTTATGAAAGTAACAAGTAGTTTCAGTTAGTTTTCATTTTGTTAAAAGCATGAATGTTTATTTCGTTAGTGTCCGTTGACTAAAATAAACTGGATGCATGGGTGTAGGATGCAGGGGCAATGTGACAAACTAAAAAATGCTCAGTTGTCTTGTCGAACTGAACTGCGGGGTTATGAAATGTTGAATCCATTTTGGGTTATTTAGAATCTTGGTGAAAATCCCCTCAATCCAAATTGTCATATTTTATCGACTCAATCACGGGTTTAAGAAATGTTTATCCATTATGGGTTATTTAGATCTACCATTTGGGTTATTTGTGTGCATTGTATGTCATGACGCCGTCCATCAATATGAGACCACACACACAGTTTGAGGTCCGGGCTCCATGAACACAAAAATCATGGAAATTATCCAATTGACAAGGGGAAAATGAATGGATTTCTGCACAACACATGTGACTCACATTGTCTGTGCTGCTTTTCTCTTCTGTGGATCGTGTAGAACTGCAGTGTGAATTTCACAGCTCTGCAAAGTCTTCATCTGAATCTTAATTCAGTGTCATTCTCATCACCTGTTTTTCACCGGACCTGTCAAAGCTGATATGAAGTCATTATCTACTCTTCCTGTGCTTTGGTGGACTTCATTTCACGCCCATTACAGTCATATCTTTCTATTTCGGTTCGCTCGTTTAACTGCATGAGAGAATAAAAATATGAAACAGTTATCACAATGATGTAGTGCAGTTCAACTCAGGTGAGCGATATTCTTAGGACAGAGGTGGCAAACTCATTTTTGTCGCGGGTCAGATTATAGTTACCGTTTCACTTGGAGGGCCGTTATGACTGAAGCCATATAAAGAAGTCAAGAATAACTGTTGATTCAACTTTTGTTTAAGTTACTATCATGAGGAGTTGAGTAACAAGGAAATGCTTAGAGTATACAGTATCTCTTATTTATTCCATATGAGAATTAAAAATTTTGGTTGACATTTGAGAAAGGATCATATAAATCGACATGTTTGAACTACTTTTGCGGGGCACATCAAAAGGTGTGGCGGGCCAGATCTGGCCCCCGGGCCTTGAGTTTGACACCAGTGTCTTATGAGACTCATTTAATGCCTACCATCTCTTTTTACGAGTTGCCCCAGTGTAAGCAATCACGTGATGGGCATGTAATCAATTTAAAGTAATAATCACAAATGTAATGACATTATGAAATTAATACATGGACTAGTCAATTATTTGTTTCGACTCCTGGCATGTACATATACAATGATGACACCTAACGACCCAGGCTCCTCTACAACATAATAGTCTCTCAGTCAGTATGTAGCACTTAATCATACCTTCCTTGAGCGCAAATACTTGACGATTTTCATATTTAGACAGGGAATTGGTAGAATCGGAAAGATAACAAAAACATGTTCAGCCAATAGCTGTGGATAGGTTTCAACGAATAAAACACAAATTGGTTGGCGAATTTGTCACTTTCATTCTACAGTACGTATACTATTGGAGGATGCTTGATAGGATACAATATAATCGTCTACCACCTAGTTACAGCAAGTCTTACTGTAGTAGTAGAAGGAGGATGGGGAGAGGGTAGCGGTGCAGATGAAATAGATTTTACAGGGTTGTGCAGGAGCATCTACTGGTGGGTAGTTCGGCAAACAAAAGGGCTGTATATAAAGATAATCAAAAGGCTGCGTTTTCCCAACGCTGAAACGGTGGCCGCGTGACGCCACATCCAGCACAGCTCGAGCACACGCCGGTGTCTCCAAATTCACGCAGCCTTGGCGAACCAACCTTCAAAGCTGGCCTCCTTTTTTCATTGAGTTTCCATGGAGACGGGCCACGCGCAAAGGCGACAACGGAGCCTTCATTGCTTTGCACTTCTACGCCTTTCTACACAATTGTTGGACACTAAAAACATGGAGGCCCCCGAAGACGACCCACATTCGGACTCAACAGCTTACTTTCAAATGTAAGTTTTTGTTTTTGTAGTTAAACTTATTCGGCAACAACGTTGCATCCGGATTAAGTGATTTTATTTGCGATATCGTCCAAAACTAATACTAGTGTAGCCTGTACTACCGGAGACAAATTCCTTGTGAGTTCTACAACCATGGCAGATGATTCTGATTCTGAAAAGAACTACAAGCTAGCTACTGAGTAACTCTCCTGTTGAATGGCTGTTATGGTTCAAACATTTTTCAATTGTAAATTTGCATGTTACCAGAGCAACCTCTTCCAACACACAGCTCATGCACTGTGCTTAGGGCCCCTTGGGCATTGACCGAGGGGCCATTTTGTGTGATCTGCGACAGCTGACCAATTTTACTGTATGTAATGTAATGTTTTTCCATTACTGTGAATTGAAATTTGGGATTCATGTCCAATATAAATGAATTGAACTTTTTTTTTTTAAACAGCCAATCCTCATACTGTAGACAACATGCTGCTGTTCTCAAATGCAACATTCATGTCACTGGAGGACCAAAACGATCACTTACTAATGCTAATGATTAAGGTGCAAATCACTCTTCATCCATATTGCGCTTCCCCAACCGCTGCAGCTGTAACAAAGCACTTGACAGAACACATGACATAAAACATTGACAATGAACAGCAAAAATTATAATTACAAAATCAAGGACAAATGGATTGGAGTGTATAATCCACATGCTACCAATTATACCAGGATTTCTCTGACAGCGTTTTGCATTTTTTAACAGGTGTTTTTTTGTTGGTTTTTTTTTTAGTTTAGTTTAGTTTTTTTTTAACGTGCATTTCTGTTTCTAACACTCCAGGACTGTCCTAGAAAACAGACAACTATCAATTGTTCTGGCAGAACTTGAAAAGGCCGGTGCCTCGCCAGCCCTGCAAAACCTCACATCACTCCCTGAAGGCCTCCTCTCGCGTTGACTTGGTGGCGAAGAGCCGCCACATCCCCAGTGACACCGTGGACATTGTAGTGGATGGTGCATGGTGTCATCCAAAGACTTGTGATGTCCCGCTCGCTGATTTCTGCACCGCTTTCATGGCGTTGGTCCTGGTTCAGGAGGTTCAGCACCACTCCAAATGAGTCCCTGCTCAGGTGAAACTCTTTTCGGAGCTATCCATTGAGGTACCAGTCCAACAAGGACGCACCCAAATTTATTTTGGAGTATGCGTTTGTATGATGGACAAATAAAAATTAAAAATTAATGCATCTTTTGTTTCTGTTTTTATCTTTTTGCATTACAGATTCATTAACTTAATTGAAGAAATATAGTTCTAGCCTGGGCGGCACTGCAATGGCAAAAAAAAACATGCATGGCAGGTTAATGGAACACTCTTGTCAAACTTGTCCCTCGGTATGAGTGTGAGCGTGGATGGTTGTTTCGTCTCTGTGTGCCACGTGATTGGTTGGCAACCAGTTCAGGGTGTGCCACGCCTACTGCCCGAAGACACGCCCGCGACCTTTGTGAGGATAAGAGAATTATAAAATTAGAAAATGGATGCATGGATGGATGGATGGATAGTTCAAGCCTGCTCTGACCCTAATCATCTCGTGGTATTGTAAAGTATTTTTACCATAAGAAAAATTTGGTATTTGGTGACTAATCAGGGACAGTAAGGCCATCATATTAACGAAATGTATGACTATTCTTGGATTGTTTACAATTATTTCAATGTTATTAAATATGAGTTATTTCTACTAGGTCGAAAAAATTAAATCTTTTGTGGCCTTTGTATGTTCGCAAACACGGAACACATGCATAAGAACGCAGCAGTGCAATGTGGCCGTTTACCAAAGTGTGCGCCAAAGCAGCCTTTGCTCAGGGCCTGTCTCCATTGAAAAGAAGGCCAGATTTGATGGTTGGGTTCGAGGTCTGCGTGAATTTTGGACATGACATGTGTCATGTGGCCGACAAAAGTGGCCTTCGTAGGAACCCGGCCTTGTGAATTTGGACGCACCTACTCACTCCCTTGGCTCAGTCCCAGTCATTCTCCTGAATGGTAGTTTCACAAATCCTTGTGTACCACACAAGAGCATGCCCCAAAGGCCAATAACCCAGTGGAAACAAATGCGTGATCAAATTACTGCATCCTGCGTTCAAACATAATTTGCAAAAAATAAGAAGTAAGGACTGTGAGGCATGAAGCCTAT